TGGAGCCTGACTTGCTCTGTCAGGAAAGAGGCGGCCCTCAGGCGACAAGAGGTTGCTGAGAAGCGACCAGACTTTATTCCTGCTGCCCCAGGCACACATGTCTGGGGAAGGAACAAAAGTGAAAAGGCCTCCTGACCTCCTAAGAGGGAGGAAGCCGCCCCACAGCCGACACCGGACGTCTCCAACATGCCAAAGAAGCAGAGAAAAAAACAAAAGAATAAAGGCTCTAAGAACGCTTGAAAGCCCTCCCCAAGAGATGATGATCTCCTCTTTGATGAGGCAGACATGACTCTCCTGGTGACTGCTGTAGTCACAGCAGTGGCAACAGCCCTGGGGAGGACAAGGGAAGAGGCAGAAACGGCAGTCACGGCCGCCATGACGGTAATGACCAAGACTGTTGCAGTCCTGAAAGGCAGAAAGCTGGATAGAGCAAAATCAGCCACACCCACAGCCCAGGACGAGACTCCCCTCCCTGCTCTAACCCAGGCCATGCCTTCACAGGCAGAGCCAAAACAGGCTGAATCTGTACAACCAGAGCCAGAGCATGCTGACCCTGACCAAGCAAGGCCAGCCAAGAGAAACACAGACAAGCCTGAGAGAAAAACCAAAGCTACCAAAGTCAGAGCTACCAGAGGCTCTCCACCCTCCAGTGGACCCACGGATTGCCGAACTTCAGATGAAGACCCCTCATCCAGTGAGGTGTTGTCGGATTGAGATGGCGTCTCAGATGTAACTATCAACAAGTAACATCATTGCACACAATCTAAGCATCCTACAGTGGAACATAAATGGCTTCTCTGGAAGGAATGCCATTCTCCAAGCAGTAGTGCGATCAAGGAGCATTGACGTTGTCATGTTCCAGGAGACACTAACGGTGGACGCTGTTCACTTCTCAGGGTATCATGTCTTCATGCTGCCACAATCAGATGGCAAAAGAGGCCTGATCACCCTTGTCAAAGCAACAATCCCCTGCTCCGCAATAGCCGATGCACCGCACTGTGGAGATGAGGCAGAATCTCTTGCCGTCGAGATTCACCTGGCTGGGGGGTCCCTGAAACTGTACATGTACAACCGGCCAGGCTGTAGTGGCTTAGATATCAGGCAGGTATGTGCGTCTGCTGCACAAGACCGAGTGATCATTGGGGGAGACTTCAATGCACACCATCCCATCCTGGCTCCTTGCAGGGCACCGGATGCGGCCGGCTATCACATAGCCAACGTGCTTGAGACGTTCCCTGAGATCGCTCTCCTCAACACTCAAGAGCCAATGCATGTCAGAAGTGGGGTACTAGACCTCACCCTGGTCACTGCGACTCTGGTGGAGAGGATTAGCTGGTCTGTCGATGAGACTGTTACAAGCGACCATTACGGCACAGTTACCATACTCATGGATGCAGGCCCAGCCGAAATCCCATGACCAAATCCAAGATGGAAAACAGACAAGGTCAACTGGCAGGCGTTCCAGAATGCCTTGGCCCACTGTCTGAGAGGCAATGAATCCACACAAACCGAAAATGTGGACGTGCTCGAAGCCAGACTGATAGAAGCCATTAACCAAGCAGCCTCACTGACCATACCCAAAAATCGGCCTGGGTCCAGGTGTCACAAGGACGCCTGGTACTTTAACGACGAGATCAGGGAGGTCAACCACAGGGTAAACATGTGCCGAAAACTATTCCGAAGGCAAAGAACACCTGACAACCTCGCACTGCTGAGGAAGGCTGTCAGGGATGCCAAGGAAACTGCCAACAGAGTCAGGCAGGAAAAGTGGCTGGAATGGTCCTTCGACCACCAAACCACCCTCTCAGAGCTGTGGCATCGGGTCAGGCGAGCTACCAGCCGCTCAGCCCCGAGACGAACGCACTACAATCCTCAAGCAGAGGCAAACAGACTGGTGTATGAGTTCCCTGCGAGAATTAGCAGCAACAGTCTGCCAGCCGAGCTGAGGGCCAAACAAGAAAGCCTAAAAGCAGACAGACTTGCTCAGATCAGAGAAAGGGCAGCCAAACCTGATAACTCAGACGTTATCTTTTCTCTGAGGGAACTAAGAAAAGCCTACAACACAGCCCCGGGCTCTGATGGGATCACGTACCCCATTATCTCCTGCCTAGGACTAGAAGGTGAACTTGCACTCCTGCAACTCATCAACAAGTCCTGGGAAACTTCCTCTCTACCACAGAACTGGAAGAGGGCTACTATAGTTCCCATCCCAAAACCAAAGGAACCAGGGAAGTACCGCCCCATCTCTCTCCTCAGCTGTTTGGCCAAGACGGCCGTGAGGATGGTACTAAAACGGCTCCTATAGAAAATGGGACCCCCCACATGAACACCTCCACAGGTTCACCAGGGGAATGAGCACAGCATATAGCATAGCCACGCTCTTGAATACAGTCAGCACAAGCCCATCCGTGGTAGTATTCCTTGACCTGGAAAAGGCCTTCGAATTAGCAAGTCCTCTTGCCATTCAGGAGAGCCTGATCCAGAAAGGAATCAGGGGAAAGCTCTTGGCTTGGATAGGTAACTACTTCAGGAACAGAACAGAGTAAAGTTCCAGGGTCACCTATCGCAGCACATGCCACTTGAAAATGGGACAGCACAGGATGGGGTGCAATCCAACCCTATTCAACACATTAATGTCTTGTATCCTCAACATAAACCTCCCAGTGGGGTGCAGGATCATCTCCTATGCAGACGATCTTGCTATCACCTACATTGGGACACAATTCCTAAGTAAAGCCCAGCGTTGTCTGGACCTTGTGTCTGAGGAGTGTTGCAGAACAGGACTTAAGATCTCTGCAGCCAAATCTAAAGCCATGGCTCTGAGAAAACAACTTCAAGGCATAAGTCTGAAAATCCAGGGAGTAGACTTGGAATGGGTCCCGGTCTTCCAATACCTAGGGGTATAGGTAGACCGGACCCTCTCCTTCTGGAAGGAGACCGAGTACCTGGTCGACCGATGTAAAGTAAGACTGACCGTCAAGAGAGCAATGACTGGGATACACATAGGAGTCAGACACAAAGTACTAAGATCCTTCTATGTACATGCTGTCAGGCCCATTGTGGATTATGCCTCAGTCGCTCTAATTGGCAGAAAGCAAAAATACAGAGAAAAATTGGAAATAGTTAAAAATGAAGCTGCCAGAATCATTCTGAGTGCCCCGAGGTGGTCAAATGTCCCCAACTTCCTGATGGAGGCCAACCTTTCCCCCCGGACTCACGAATCGATCAAATGGCAACCAATTTCTTAAACCTAAGACAAAAACTAGTCAGACACCTAGAACAAGACAACGAGCTGTTCGCAGACAACTCGTGGCTGTCCCACACAGCCAGTGTGTTGATTAAGTATGAGCTCAAAGAACAGCTTCTCGCCAAGGGCATGAACTCCCCCCACCCTGACTTTGTCGAAGCCCCGCCGTGGGCACAAACCTCGATAGAGTTCTCGGTTATGAGACTACCACTGAAAAAAAAGTGAATATCCCACGCCTGGCCTAAAGGCAGAGGCCGTTGCAATCATGGGAGCCCTATCCCACGCGTCCCTAAGGGAAGGACACGCAGTCATACATACTGACTCTAGGGCAGCCATTGACTGTCTTCAGCACAGTTCACCCAAAGACAACATCTACCTCCTGACCACAATACTGACAATAGCCCAAATAATACTGGCTCAGGGTAGAAGATTTATTATTAACTGGGTCCCTAGCCATATTGGCATCAGAGGGAATGAGCTTGCTGACAGACTACCCGTCTCTGGCAGGGGTATGCCCCCTAATCCCATGATCATTAAGCCAAGCCGTAATTTACTTCGGGGGAAGTGTACCGGTGTCGCCAACTCCTTCCTCCTGCAGCTTCACAGAGAGGCAACGAGATCCTCCCCCTCGGCCAGATGGTACTATTATTACTTAGATATTACTTAGAAAATTGTGAAAACACACAATTCCTGAGACAGGGACCGCCGACAACAGTCGCCGTGCTGGTAAAGAGACTTTGCAATTTGCTTACACCATGGCAGCAGGAGCAATCCCACCGCCACGGTAAGCGCTGAGTGTCAGAGAACAAAATGAGCCAGCCCTAAAAAGCTGACACAGGCCGGTCCATAGCCGAAGACCCGGGCGAAGCTAAAACTTCGCAAATCACAATAGTAGTAGCCACGCGCCATCTGTGCGTGCGTGGCCCGGGCATTGGCGTAACTCGCGCGTTAGCGTGTCCCCGTGCCCGGGCTGCGGCGCGCACTCGGCTAACCGGGGAGGTTGGGAGCGGAAAGGGCGGCCTACCAGGCGCCATCGGGGCTCCATCGTGCACGGACTTCTCGCCCATGGCAACGGTGGAGCCCTCGGCTAACCAGGAGACTGCGAGGATGAAATATGAATGAGATCGCTGATCGCCCGCGTCGAACAGAGATTTCTCCCTGTCGGCGGCAGGACTTCCAGGGAGACGTGCTCTGGCGATCTCACCACGCTTGGATTATCAACACTGGCCATGACATCTCTCCCGCTCACACGTTGTCACTCCTTCTGACAAAGGAGCCACAGTCATGGCAGGGTGCAGGCGGCAGATGTCACGAATCGGAAATCCGGAACCAGTGAGATGAGGGTAAGGATTAGGATGAGGGAGACTTACGCTATGAGAGAATAATAGAATGAGGCGTGGGCAAAGTTATGTGACTCACAGAAGGAGGAAGTGGGAGAGGAAGGAAGTTAAAAGCAGGATAGGGCTCTCTTAAGGAGTGTTTATTTTGGGAGGTTATTAAAAAGGAAGTTTATATAAAACTATAGCGCCCTCCCTTTTCTATGCTCCTTAGCAAAGACCTTATTACTTCTCTTTGCTCTGGGAACCACTCAGACTTTATCCAGAGGGGCACTATCTGTTAATACAAGTGTGTGGTTTCTCCAAAAGTACTCTTTAGAACCCACACTAAAATATATATTTTCATACAGGTTACTTATGATCTAATTTCAGCCTTAGAGGTAACTGAGAGAAGGGGATAATATCAAACCACTTAATAAGTTTACATTTGTTGTTGATATATTGAGTTAAAGATCATTACATTTCTACAGTAAAATAAACTTTCATCTACAAAAAAAAAATGTCCCAAATGGTTGTATTCCAACCTGTCACTTTTATTCTTCTGGTTCTTCTCAGGTGTCTTCTTTCCTTGTCTTCATCAATGTCCTGGGCTCTTTCATTCTGGTTCACAGCCCCAGGGACGCATAAATCACAACTTCAGAAGAACCAAACAAACCATTAAAAAAATAAAACAAAACCACAAAAAAAAAAAAAAAAAAACCACTCCTAGAAAAGAAACAAAATTCTAGTTTAGGAATGATAAACAATATAAAGTTATTAAATGTAAGTAAATCAGTTCTTGTAAGATCAAAAACAATATTTCTTACAAACAAACAAATTATATATAATATTTATGTTATTATATGCGATCTGAGTAATTATATATTATCGTAAAATTTGATTAACATCATTATAATATTATACAATTATGAATGCCAAGAACGCTTACTCTTTGAATGGGTTTTAAATTCTTATAAACAAGAGAGACATATCGGATGTTATTCAAGAGCCATGTGCCATGTGCCAGCCTCGAACTCAGATATTTCACGATAATCAAATACTCTTTCAGGCTTCTGTATGGCACTCCTCTCTGATCTCGATCTCTCTCTCTATGATTATAGCTATGTTTTCAGGATTTAGCACTGTATATACTTTGAATTTTAAAGTCTACTCAGATCACATATATTACACTTATACAGTCCTTCTTAATCTATACATGCGTAATTTTCAGAACTTAAAAGAATCCTTCCATTGACAAAAATAATATATATTGTTTTCTTCATAAAAATATCAATTATACAACCTTAATATAATAATACTATTGAAATATAATAGCGTACCCTTTAAATAAAGAGAATGTATGGTGGGGGTAACAAAAAAACTTGTACTTTGTAGGGTAAACTATCATATTTTACAATTTTCTTATCTTACAAAAAATATAATATTGAAATATATAGAATTTCATGTAAAACTATTAAAATAAAATATCATCTTTCTAGAAAAATAATAAAGTACCTTTTTCTCACATGGTTAAAGCTAAAACTGAGGTATACTTAAATAATACATATGCATAAAGACTAAGTGAGGTGTATACAGGGGGGTTTCCAGACGAATTTTGGGTCATTCTAAATTCACATCCCTTGTGCTCGTTACAAAACAACCACCTAAAACTTTAAAAATCGAAAGAACACAAGCATTAAAACAAGAAACTAAAACAAAATGAAAAAAAAAATGAAGAAACAACGCAAACATAAACGTAAGAAAATTAAAAGCTTAAGTAGTAGTATTTGCGATTTGCGAAGTTCTAGCTTCGCATGGGCCTTCGGCTATGGCCCGGCCTGGTCTCATTTTGTTCTCTGACACTCGGTGCTTACCGTGGCGGTGGGATTGCCAACAGACGCTCCTGCTGCCATGGTGTAAGCGAATCGCAAAGTCTCTTTACCAGCACGGCGGCTGTTGTAGGCGGTCCCTGTCTCAAGAATTGTGTGTGTTCACAATTCTCTAAGTAATGTACAAGTGTGGGGTTCTGTTTTCCATCATAGTTTTGGTTGTGGGATTTCATGAGGGTAGTTACAGTGCTGTAATGGTCACTTGTGACAGTCTCATCAACACACCAGCTAATCCTCTTCACAGGAGTCGCAGTGACCAGGGTGAGGTTTAGTACCCCTCCTCTGACATGCGTTGGCTCTTGGGTATTGAGGAGAGCGATCTCAGGGAATGTCTCAAACACGTTGGCTATGTGATAGCCAGCCACATCTGGTACCCGGCAGGGAGCCAGGATGGGGTGGTGTGCGTTGAAGTCTTTCCCTATGATCACTCGGTCGTGTGCAGCAGAAGCACAGACCTGGGTGATATATAAGCCACTACAGCCTAGCCGGTTATACACATTGTACAGTTTGAGGGGCCCCCCGGCCAGGTGAATCTCGACGACAAGAGATTCAACATCGTCTCCACAGTGCGGTGCATCGGCGGAGCAGGGGATTGTTGCTTTGACAAGGGTGATCAAGCCTCTTTTGCCAGCTGTTTATGGCAGCATGAAGACATGATACCCTGAGAAGCGAACAGTGCCCTCTATTCGTGTCTCCTGGAGCATGACAATGTCAATGCTCCTTGATCGCACTACTGCTTGGAGAATGGCATTCCTTTCGGAGAAGCCATTGATGATCCACTGTAGGATGCTTAGGTTGTGTGCCATGATGTTACTAGTTGATAGTTACATCTGAGACATCGTCATATTCTGATAACTCCATTGTCTGATAACTCCATTGTGAAGTCCTCGCTGGTTGAGGGGTCTTCATGTGTAGTCAGGCTATCCCTGGATCCACTGGGGGGATGGAGAGCCTTTGGTAGCTCTGACTTTGGTTACTTTGGCTTTTCTCTGTGTTTCTCTTTGCTGGCCTTACCTGGGAAAGATTAGTGTGCTCTGGCTCTGGCTGCACAGATTCAGCCTGTTTTGGCTCTGCCTGTGAAGGCATGGCCTGGGTTGGAGTGGGGAGGGGAGTCTCGTCCTGGGCTGTGGGTGTGGCTGGTTTCGCTCTTTCCAGCTTTCTTCCCTTCAGGACTGCAACAGTATGGGTCATTGCCGTCATGGCGACCCTGGCCGCCATTTCTGCTTCTTCACTTGTCCTCCCCAGGGCTGTTGCCACTGCTGTGACTACAGGAGAGTCATGTCTGCCTCATCAAAGAGGAGATCATCATCTCCTGGGGAGGACTTTCAAGTGTTCTTAGAACCTTTATTCCTTTGGTTCTTTCTCTGCTTCTTTGGCATGTCCGGAAACTTCCGGTTTCAGCTGGGGGCGGCCTTCCTCTTAGGAGATCAGGAAGCCTTTTCAGTTTTGTTCCTTCCCTAGACATGTGTGCTTGGGGGAGCAGGAATAAAGTCTGGTCGCTTTTTAGCAACCTCTTGTCGCCTGAGGGCCGCCTCTTTCCTGACAGAGCAAGCGTGATGCCTATTGGTACAGTTAGGACATTTAGCTGTTGTGTCCCTCTCTTGGCTGTGCAGCTACCCTGGTGATGTTCGTATCTTTGGCATTTAAAACACCAAGTGTTTCAGGCATGTACGTACAGAGGTTGTAGGTGCCCCAGTTATCCAGATCAAGGATAGTGGTTGGGGCACCTTTCATAGTCACCAGGACTTGCCTGGTTGGAGTCATCCCTACTGACATTCGGGAAGCCTCCACGACCTGTGGGTGTGAAGTGATCAGGTCCACATTATGAGAGACTGATAAGCCAAGTAGCACCATCTTGGTTCTCTTATCCTCTGGGCTTAATGGGGAAAGACTCACTTTTCTCCCATTTTTCAATTCCGTGGTTTCCCGGATGAAATTCAAGGTGGCTTGATCTTTCGGCGTTATGATCATGCCGAATTTGCCTCTGCATCTCCAATGCTCTCACCAATTGGTAGGCATTGTCGAAGCCTTCGGGTTTAGCTGGCACTTTGAACTGGGGGAAACGACTAGGGGGTCCAGACTCTCCATCAGAGAGTCTCCGGCCTTGGTCGCTTCGGCTCGCCCTTTCGGCTTGGGGGTTGTTCGTGAGGGTAGCAGCTGGTTCGGCTGGTCCAGCCTGTGCTCCCATCTCAGTCGGGGAGGCCGTCTGAGGGGAACTCAGGGGCCTCCCTGGCTTGGCTGCTGGGCTGAAGAGACCAGCACTAGAGTCTATCTGCTTTACAAGCTGATGGACAGAGTTTTCTTTTGCCACCAGGAGCCACATACGGCTCCAGGGTGGCTGCCGTGGTCTGGGCCTTGCCTGTGTCGTCAACTTTATGATCTGTTAGTGGGGGGTTTTGTTTTATTTTTTCCATATAGTGGACAGTGCTTCATCCTCTCACACCCCCACCCTCCACTGAGTCCAACAAGGGGAAGCTGAGTGTCAGAACCTCAGGCTGGGAGATGACGGAAGCTGAGTTTGAGGACGAACGCCAGTCGACAGCCGAGACTATTCGAGACGCCATAATCGACATGTTGGAAAATGTCAGGTAAGTTGGAGTATTATCTGCATATATATATATATATATATATATATATATATATATATATATATATAAATACATGAACCGTATTCATGTCGACGAATGTAGAAAAGGTATGAATGAGAATGAGTATCTTCACAATACAGGAGATGTAACTGACCGGTTTCGAATTATATCTTCGTCAGAAATACATACAACAAAGGAGATACAGAGCATATATATATCACACATGAGCTGACGTGCTACCTGACTGTGACCTCCCGCTCGTTGATCGTATGATTGCTGCCGCGACCTTGGATAATTTGAACCTGCCCGAAGCTGCGTTGATGTTATTTTCCGTCGCGATGTAGGCAACTTCCATGATTTTTCTTTGCTGCCTGTTTAGTCCTCCATGGACTATTTTTGCTTCTTTCCAATTAGGTAGATGTCCAGCTTCATCTACATGGACCACCATGGCGTTGGAAGTCCTATGGTGACGGATGTCAGCTCGGTGTTCGCTGATCCTGGTGCTGAAGCCACGGCCTGTTTCTCCAAAGTATGCTGTGTCGCATCTGCTGCAGGGTATGCGATACACAGCACTGTTGGTGTTGTTTACAGGCTGCTTTTTCTCTCGTATCATGTCATGTATCTTATTCCCGGCTGTGCTGGCAATTTTCACTGTGTTGCCGAAGTATCTGCTGATCGCCTGGGAAACGTTGCATGACGGTAACGTGAGAAACTCATTAGAAGAAGGTGCAGGATTGGATTTTGCGAGTATATTCTCCGCCTTCCTTCTGAGGTTCAGTAGGAAGCCTTTAGGGTATTTATGCTTCAAGAAGGAATCAATTATATAAGCAACCTCAACCTCGAGGAATTCAGGGCTGCAGATCCTTAGTGCCCTGAGGAAGAAGCCGATTACAACACCAGATTTTGTTTTGTTACTGTGGGCGGAGTAATAGTGGATATAATCGTCTTTATTAGTAGGCTTTCTATATACAGAGAAACGTAGGCCGTCGTCTCCCCGATGGATCAGAGTGTCCAAGAAAGGTAACTTCTGATCCACTTCCTCCAATACATGAACCGTATTCATGTCGACGAATGTAGAAAAGGTATGAATGAGAATGAGTATCTTCACAATACAAGGAGATGTAACTTGACCGGTTTCGAATTATATCTTCGTCAGCAGAAATACATACAACAAAGGAGATACAGAGCATATATATATCACACATGAGCTGACGTGCTACCTGACTGTGACCTCCCGCTCGTTGATCGTATGATTGCTGCCGCGACCTTGGATAATTTGAACCTGCCCGAAGCTGCGTTGATGTTATTTTCCGTCGCGATGTAGGCAACTTCCATGATTTTTCTTTGCTGCCTGTTTAGTCCTCCATGGACTATTTTTGCTTCTTTCCAATTAGGTAGATGTCCAGCTTCATCTACATGGACCACCATGGCGTTGGAAGTCCTATGGTGACGGATGTCAGCTCGGTGTTCGCTGATCCTGGTGCTGAAGCCACGGCCTGTTTCTCCAAAGTATGCTGTGTCGCATCTGCTGCAGGGTATGCGATACACAGCACTGTTGGTGTTGTTTACAGGCTGCTTTTTCTCTCGTATCATGTCATGTATCTTATTCCCGGCTGTGCTGGCAATTTTCACTGTGTTGCCGAAGTATCTGCTGATCGCCTGGGAAACGTTGCATGACGGTAACGTGAGAAACTCATTAGAAGAAGGTGCAGGATTGGATTTTGCGAGTATATTCTCCGCCTTCCTTCTGAGGTTCAGTAGGAAGCCTTTAGGGTATTTATGCTTCAAGAAGGAATCAATTATATAAGCAACCTCAACCTCGAGGAATTCAGGGCTGCAGATCCTTAGTGCCCTGAGGAAGAAGCCGATTACAACACCAGATTTTGTTTTGTTACTGTGGGCGGAGTAATAGTGGATATAATCGTCTTTATTAGTAGGCTTTCTATATACAGAGAAACGTAGGCCGTCGTCTCCCCGATGGATCAGAGTGTCCAAGAAAGGTAACTTCTGATCCACTTCCTCCTCCACGGTGAACTGGATTTTCTCGTGGACGGAGTTAAGTCGCGTCAATGTGTGTTGTAAGCACGACCTTCTGGGGACAATGACGAGGACATCATCCACGTATCGAAGCCAAGTTGAGTGCCTGACGATTATATCCTTGTAACTATCTCTCTCCAGCGTCTCCATGAACAGACAGGCCATGACTGCGCTCAGGGGGGAGCCCATGGCAAGACCGCTTATCTGCTGGTATTCTTCACCAGCAAACTCGAAGTAGCCGAAATCCACGCACAACTTCACCAGGCGAATGAAGTGGTGTCTCGGCAGCGGAAGTTCTGCGTCTGTTATGGAGCTGGTGACCCTTTCGACTGCTCGGATTGCTCCATCTGTGTGTATATATGAATATATATATATGTGTGTGTGTGTGCGCATGTGTGTATATGTGTGTGTGTGTTTGTATATATATATGTATATATATATATACATATATATATCTGTGTGTGTACATTTATATGTGTGTGTTTTTATACACATATATGTATATATATATATATATATATATATATATATATATATATATATATATGCGTGTGTATGTGCGTGTGTGTACATACATATGTAAATATAAATATAAATATGAATATATATAAATATAAAATATGAATTTATATGTGTATATCCCCTTGGTGCCGGGTGACGCCGATCGGCGTGTAAACAAAGAGCTCGAAAGCTGGCGTACAGCCGAACGAGCCGGCGGCGAGCCAGTGATTCGGGCTGATGTCCCCTACTCACGCGCTCAAAGTCGGCGCGCCGCCTTTGTTTGTTTAAGCGTAGAGTTTTTTTTTTTTTCTTTTGTACACCCGGCGCCATTAGGATGTATACATATATGAATATGTAAATGCATTTATATACTTATACATATACACATACACACACATCCTTATATATATGTGTATATATATATATATATATATATATATATATATAGAGAGAGAGAGAGAGAGAGAGAGAGAGAGAGAGAGAGAGAATTATAAGTCTAAATGTGGCTATATATCCAACTTTCCCCACGTAATTCCCCGCATGAACCAAGGCATGGTGATTAATCCAAGCCTCCAAGACCATTGGTAACGAGAGTTGAGAAAGAGCTTAGATTTTAAAACGTTAATAGTTAGTGTTATTATGATTATCAATAGAAATAGGACTTATGACCCGACACATTACTTCAGAGACAAATGGACTCAATAAATACACTTCAAAACATATATTTATTTACACAGAACTTAATATGAATATATGGATTTATGTGCACTGCGTACACATATGTTCACAAAACACGTCAGGCTTACACTCAT